TCAGAATACTTTACTACTATTAATTACTGTTTACTAGGTTTGCTGTATTCTGGCTTGACTAATATTAAAATCACTAACTGAATGAATTAATCACAGATTCACCAAAACTCACATACCAAGCAAGACTCCTAGTTACTAAATGTATGTATTTGTCCTTATTCAACCAGTTTAAAGATTTTACTGATTTTGATTAAATGTGGTGAACTGCTAATCTCAGTCTACCTTAATGTCAATTTGTAGAGCAATGTTTTAAAAACAAAATAGCACCCTTCTTGAAAAGATTTCAAGTACAGCTTTTATAACATATTTTAAAAATATAGTGTAGAAGATTATACTGATAACAGGTTTAGAAAAATATTCATTAATTTTTCTAATTCTGCTCTTAGCAGCCTCAACAGGATTTAATAACCTTTGAAATCATCTTGAAAAAGAACATATGACATGTGGCAAAGTTCTCCCTCTCTGTGTGTCTGTCTCTCCCCACTCCCACACACTCAAATTCACACACACAGGATATACGGGTGATTCAGAATGCTTTCATAAAACACATTTATCTTGAAGTACAGGACTGTTCTAATAAGGGCTTCATGTAGCTCAAGTCAACTTTATAAAGGGGAAGAATGAAGTCCATACTTTCCTGACTGGCAAGCACCAGGAAATGGATGACTTCTCCACAGGCAGGACCTACGCCTTTCCATTTAGTCTCTCATCATGTGTCATTCATGCTGCTGCTGAATGTATCTGGAAATTGAACTGATTTCTCAACTTATTGAAGACTGTTTTCAGAAGGTAGAACCACAGAGACATGATAATGAAAATAAAACTATCTGAAGAATCTATTTGGGAGTCAGATTTTCTTCTGAGTTTTCAATTGACTTTTAAGATACGCAGTTTCATAGTTCCACTGAAACATTTTAAACTATTACAAAATTGTTAAAATTTAAACTATCACAATAATCTTCAAAACTTTCTGTCCCTTACTATGGTAACCTGTGTAGGAGTCTGATTCACATAATACATTACAAATGGTTTTTTTTTTTTACAATTTTGAAGCAGAAGGAAATCATTAGTAACAATGCAAAGGATGAGACAGTTTCAGTGTTCAAGGTAGAAATGGGAATGGAAACATACATTTCCATTTTTTAAAAGCAGTCTTCTCCAATTTATTTATTCTCGCAGAGAATACCACGGAGAAAGGATTTTATTCACTGGTAATGTAGCAGATATAACTTTTTACAACAAAAATTTAATTTCTTAAAGTTATCATTTCTATCCCCATCTTTCAAAACCAGAAAAGTTTATCCCAACAAGTATGTTACAATATATGGCCACACTCAGGTACATCCAGATCACTGTCTCAGTATATCTTTACTTTGTTCTTTCCCTTCCCTTTGCCTACTTCTCAAGCTTATCTGTGGCACTGAAAGGTTTAACTAAGATCTAACTTGTGCTCTGAAGACCCTAATCTCTGATTTAGGAACTTCTGGGCATAATGAAGATAGTAGAAGTCTTCAAATAAATACCTTGATTACTGCAACAAACCTGTCAGCCAGAAAGTGTGATAAAACAATGAATTCTCTTTAATAGATCTGAAAATAGTTTGAAAATAGTAAAAAGTACCCTGAACAGTGTCTAGCACATAGATGACAGTGAGGAAATGTTAGTTTCTTTTTCCCTTTCTTTTTCCCTAAGAAGATGAGGCAGCTTGCCCAAGGTCCCAGTGAAATCGGTGACAGGGCTCTCTCCATAGAACTAGGCCTCCACTCTTGATATGCCATGGTTGCTCCCCATTTGATGACATGTGATAACATTCTTATGCCCCCAATTTTAATATTTTCACTTACATTTATCTGAAACTTTTGTTCAAATAGTGATTGATGTAAATCTGAATTCTTTTCTGAAGCCTGTGCACTTTTATCTAAAAATTCTTTAATACAATTGCAGCAGGAACAGAAAATGAGGTTTGGAAAGCTAAAGCATCAAGCCTGTACTGGCAGGAAAGTAATGGGGGATTGTTCAGGGCCTCACAAGAGGCACATGAAAACCACCAGCACAGTCATTAACACCAACTGAGATTCAAGAACATGTCATACAGCGCCAGAACTAGAAATGGGCTTGTTCTTACGAAGTGTCATGTAACAATCATTTTTTCAGAGCACAGAGCAAGCTTCTGAATAGCTCTCAGGGGAGTTCTCCACTGGTTTGTTCTGGAATCAGTACTTTTCACCAAGAAACTAGGCAATTGTCAAGAAAAGTGGGAAAATAAGCACTATTGGCATTTTCTCACCCACAGATTTCTAAAAAGAGTCATATTTTATGTTTCAAAATTAAGAATATATTATGAAAGGTACTTATTACAGGATGTTTTATTCCTCTGTGATAACTTTAGTATACATCGTTTTTCTGAGCCAATGTTCACTCTCTTGGGGTACCTTCTCTTTGAAATTTTGCTCAAGACTGTAAGTGTATAAACTCATAGAAAAGGTCTGGAAGGTTAAGACCAAACCTAAAATCAGTTGTCTCTGTAAAGGGGAAGCTGATGACCAGGGACTGGGAGTGGAAGACTCATTATCATGTACTGCTTGTATACCTTTACTTGCCCCAAGAAGCATTTTTTAAATGTACTGGAAACCTAAGATTTCTAAAGAAAGCCAAAAAATATAAGCTTCAATTTTAAGTGCTCTCTACCGTTGACTTTACACAAAGCCCTAGGAAATAAACATACATCTTCTTCGATATTTTCTAATTATGAGGTCCTGAGTGCCTATTCCCATGTGCCACCTTTCACATGTGGAGTACACATATGTATATTACGTGCCCACATAAACACTTAGCATACACACTTACACATATACACTCATATACTTCCACATATAAATATATACAGATCCTCAAATAGTAGTCAACATATGGGAATAACGCTTTTAAAAGTCTATAAATGAAAAGAAATAGATGACTTTGCAATAGCCACGATGGGTTCACTTCCCTTTCTGACCTAGGTTTCCCTCGCTCATGGCACCCTTGCTGGTATGCACCACAGCCAAGCACTGTACTGAGCTATTCAAAGGAGGTTTTTTCAAAGCATGACAGTCATGGCAGTCAACTCACTTGCTCCAAGCCAAAAATGGAATAGGAGAAATCTGTGTATTTTAGGACACAGTAAGGGTGTGTGCCTGGTAGCATGGTCTATTTTTAGAAGTTATATTGAGAAACTTCCTTTGTGAATACATGTAGGAAAAAAACAGTAATAGAAGGGTAACTTTCATGACTTATTTCATTCTTACAATAGCTCTGTCCAATATGAACTAGGTAATGTTTTCCCAAGAGCCTGTAGTTTTAACTCTTGACATCCCCAAAGGTTTCTTTCTACATTTATATACATAATAACTAAAGGGGTTCCTGGAGGGCTTCATGGCTTATTTTCAATAAATAAATTTTAAGTCTGTAAAATTTCAAATAAATGCACTGGCAGTTAAGTAAAGAATACTTTTTAAGGAACAGACAGCAATCCAAATATGCCAACCTAGAACTGGAAATGGCACTATGATCTCTCAGATAACTCCCAGTATGTGATGCTCACAATGGGATAACATACATGAATTCTGCCACCCATCAAGTGATAGCCTGTCAATATTTTTTCCTGGATACTATTTATATGTTGAATACATACACATATATTATGTATATACATACACACTTAACATGCAATTGATCAACATATGTTGATTTTGTGTAAAGTCAACAGTAGAGAGCACTTAAAATTGAAGCTTATATTTTTTGGCTTTCTTTAGAAATCTTAGGTTTCCAGTACATTTAAAAAATGCTTCTTGGGGCAACTAAAGGTATACAATTCATATCATGAACTGATATGCTTAAAAAATAGGTAGCAAACCATGTTGTGCTATTTGTGTCGAGAGGAATGCATTTCCACTGCCAAATCCTAGATTTTCCCATTGGTACAACTATTCTTAACCCTTGATTTAAATCTTTTGGGGAAAGGGACATATGAATGTTCTTCACTTCAGACCTATTTGTTAAGGAAGAATAGAAGCTCCTGAATAAAACAGAGCTTACTACTCATTAGGGCTCTTAGGGCTCTTCTCAGCCCTCTCCGTTATGGTCTGTGGGGGAGAAAGCTACAAACAACTATTCAACTAGTAAAAACAATCACAGGTCCATAGATAATTGCTCTTATTTTACAATATATTTAACCAAATATGACTAAAATTATGTTATAGAAAACCACTTTTATTTTCTGGAAAGTAAATTAAATGAAATAGACCAGAATAGTATTCAGCCTCCTAAAAATCCCAGTCTTAACACACTGACTGCCACACTTCAAAAAAATTTTTTTCCTTGGGGCCTCAGTGTTTTATTATGAAAATACAATAAAAACTTTGAAAACAAAATGATCCTTTCTAATTTAATAAGAAATTTATTATTTTTTATTGTTTTCTGTGTGTGAGTTATATGCAACTTGAAAAATAGTTCTCCCAGCTCCCAAGGGGAAGAGACATGTGAGTTACATATGCTTCACGAGGCCCCAGGCTCAAAACTAGCATGAGTTAAATACAACTCATGTGGCAGCTAATGTGTTCAGGATCCAGATTATATAGAGGTCACATGTTTAGCACATTTGAGACCAAGATGATGTTTGCTTAGAAAATTCTTCATAGCTCCGTGTTTACACTGGAAAGTTCAAAGATTTTACTGCATCCACACTAAAACTTAGCTCCTGATGCTGCTCATGAAATTGAAGGTAAACACACCACAAGCTCCTAAAAAGACTGAGTGGCCACATGCAACATACTGACATTGTGAGTTGTCTATAATACTTACAGAAATTTAATTTGCCCATAAACCAGAACTATAATACAATATATTTCCTTTACAGATTATATGCAATCAAAGTGAGGGACAGGGAGAGGATTATACTGAAAAACCAGGAAAAGTACTTACTCTCAACCTTAAGTTGATCCCAAACTGCAACCATGTCTTACCTTTTCAGGTCAACGGTGGTAACACTAAATACAACTCCTTTGAGCCAAAGAATCATGAAGAGCCTCTGGGAAAAGGGGCAGTTTCCTATGCTTTCACCATCACTGCCAGCCTGGGAAACAGAATTAAACATTAAAAAACAATGTCGAAGTGATAATACTCAAAATGACAGATCTTTTTCTGAATTTTAACCAAGGGTAAAAGAAGACAGGAAAAGTTGCACCGTGGAAGGAAGAGTGGAAATCTAAGTATTTATTACTTTGCTCTTTCATTTGCCTCTATCTCTTCTTAGAAATGACCAATCTAGCATAGCAATGTCCAAGAGAACTTTCTGCATAATGGAGATGATCTATATTGCCACTGTCCAATATGGTAGCTACTAGCAACGTTTGGCTAGGGAGTATTTAAAATGGGGCCAATTCGACTAGACTGAATTTTTAAATTTTATTTATTTTTAATTACAGTCACATGTTGCTTAACGAGGGGATACATTCTGAGAAATGGGTCATTAGGAGATTTCAATGTTGTATGAACATCGTAGAGTGTACTTACAGAAACCCAGATGTATAGTCTATTGCTCTTAGGCTAAAACCTGTACACCATGTTACTGTATTGAATACTATAGGCAACTGTAACCCAATGGTATCTATATATCTAAACATAGAAAGATACAGTAAATATATATTATAATCTTAAGGGACCACCATCATATATGCAGCTGGTTATTGATGGAAATGTCTGTTGTAATACAGCACATGACTGTAATTTAAATTTAAATAGCCACATGCGGCTAACGACTGCTATGTTGGACAAAGCATCAATTCCTAGGGGGCGCGTATATCCTTGCCTCAGGGCAAAGACAAAGTAGGTCATGGGTTTTATGAAATGTAAAAATCATTTCTTATTCTGTCATACAGTATTCTTTAAGGCAATGTAAATAGGGAAACTTGTAAGTGCGCCTGTCTCCAAAGAGTTAAATAACCACCCACCCTCCTCCCATTAAAAAAAATAAATATATATTTGTTGTAAATATCCCACATCCTGTTTTACACATTTCTTCAGGAAACAAGAAAATAATAGAACATATCTTTTTAATATGCTTTTTCTAATCCCATTTAATTAATGGAGCGAGGAGTTGATTTCTCTGAGCTCAATGACAAAGTGGAATTTTCCTAAAAATCAGATTGGGACAAATCTTTAATTCCATCATGTATGCCCCAAGTTTAAAAAGGAGAGACTGGGCGAAAGAAACAGGGTGAGAAAAGGAGGGCCAGAATGCTGGAAGAAAACATTCTGACATATCGACACAGCCTGTTCACCATGAAATCTATGGAGAGCACCAGAAATAACTACAAGTCTTTCAAAGATACTGGTAATGGCCAGACACCTGTAATCCTAGCACTCTGGGAGGCCGAGGAGGAAGGATCACTTGAGCTCAGGAGTTCAAGACCAGCCTGAGCAAGAGCGAGATCCTGTCTCTACCAAAAATAGAAAAATTAGCCAGCCGTGGTGGCACATGCCTGTAGTTCTAGCTACTTGGGAGGCTGAGGCAGGAGGATCGCTTGAGCCCAGGAGTTTGAGGTTGCTGTGAGCTAGGCTGACGCCATGGCA